AAGAAAATAAGCTGAGTTGACTACCTCACTGCTAGCATCGGGCTGCGTCCCTGCCGGTCACTTAGCCGATGCAGGATGGACAATGTGGCTGACAGGGCCAGCGAGCCCATCTGCGCGCACCACAATATGAACTCCCCCGCCCTTGACAAATGACAAAATTTACATAATAGGAAGCTTAGAAGGAGCCACCGCCGTTTGACACCCAGTCCAGTCATCAGATATTTAACACACAACGCACACTGGGCTAATGGCTTATTCTGGGAAAGCGTCAGCTGGCAACCATAGCATACCATATGAGTTCCAAACCCTCATCACGCACGTAGAATGGAGAAATTTAGGCCGACGATACGAATAACTAAGTATGGTAACCTGGATAGTTGCTATAATTGTGTGTGCTATAAGATACACATTACCATACTACAAAATCTGGATTGGAAACTATTACTAATATCCGTGGTTATAAAGATGAGATATGATTCTTAATGGATGTCAGGTTTCACAAAATGCGGTCATACCCATGATCCGTATGAACAGCTCGTCATGGGGCGTTTCCGCGGGTCCAGTCTCGAGGCGTGTAGCTGCGAAACCTTTTCTAGTTGAGGAATTTACAGGGGGGGCAGTTGTGAGCATATCAGTCGTCTGGGAGTTATTACATTCCTTAATTTCTTCCGAAGGTTGTGTCTGGCGCCCTCGATGGACACAGAACCACATTCCACCCTCGCGTTCAGATACCCACGTCAGTAAGAGCCGTGACTCCAGAAGATACGAATCGATCCATCGCCGGGTTATTAAGGCGCGTCCCATATGGTGGCGCCCATTGCGTATGCGGACACCATTGTGGTACCATTCTAGCACATTGCTGGGGTCCATTTTGGCTTCGGGAGATGTGAAGTTAGCGATGCATCTTAGCTCCAGCGGCAGTCCGTAAAAGGCCAATTTTGGTCCATGTATTCGAACTAAATTGAAAAGCAGATGCCAATACAAGTGAAAATGTGAGTTCCAGGAAGTAATTGAAAGGAAGTAGGGACCATCTCTGGAAGTATAACTTTATTTACCTGACTTTTGGGAGTTATCCTTAAACTCATCATCAGAACCAGTATTAGATGTGAGTAATTTATACTCAGCGTGTTTTCGTGTTTGTAGGATACAGTCACAGGGCTACCGCATCCCAGTGACGGTTACTGGTTCCCCCTCCATCGGGCACATAGCTGCAGGCGGGATGAGCGACAAAATCGTAACCACACCAAATTTTGGTGGGCGACTTTATACCTTAAGATCATTTCGTAGAACGTCAGTCGCCTCTTCGCTCCACTGAGTCTTAACGTTGCACGCAGACCAGAAGCAAATAGTAGGCGTCAAGTAACATGGCCAAACGACCAAGTACCACGGCTAGAAACAAGTGGAAGCGTTTATTGAATCCAGTGCAGTTGTGAACAAAGGAAAGTAAGTGGGTTCGCTACCTCATGAAATGTGAACCGCAACTCTCTCAAATCGAACAAGTTATGTAGTTAAAGTTGTGGTTCTGGTTATCGTGCAGCACAGTCCCATGATATTTTATTTGCGCTAGAGTGCCATTTTTTAAAGGCGATTTCCCCTGACCACCCGTAAAAAGCGCGCTTTGTAATAAATGCCTACTTAAAAAAGTAAGCATTTTGTCCATCAGTTTTTGAAATCTTTAAAGATTTATCGCGTTCATCCTCTCCCAAAAGGGTAGGAAACTTTTAAAACTTTACCGAACGTGGCAGGCAGTGCGGACCGAACCGAAGTCCGACGACCGACCAAACAAAATTATGGCGTGAGCTCTCTCACATTGACTGCGTTTCAGAGGCAGTTTCCCGTCTACTAAAATCATTTGGGATGGGCATCGTTCACCTACCGGAGTCAACAATACGGCATCCGGTCATAAGACTGAAGGCTAATTTGCCCTGAGGTGAAACAGCTAACGTCATCTAACGAATAAAATTGTAACACCTGCGCAGAAGGCTATCTCGGAGAGACTGGAAACGCTTGCAAACCATAGTGAGGGAACAAATGAGGCCAGTAAGATGGATGGACCTATTATCTTTGGTGGCTGAACACTTGGCAGACTCCGGGCACATGTTTGCTTTCCAGAATGCCAAAATTCAGGGTCAAGTAAACGATTGCATAGCGAGGGAAAGTATCGACGCCTAGCGCACGGGAAAAATCTCCAACCACCATTCTATGGCGCTTCCCACAGCTTACCAAACCCCACGAAAAGAAGAGCAAACGACAACATAGACGGAATGCGAATCCGAACCCTTGCCAGCCGATGGTGGACACACACAGCTGAACCACAACCGGAAATAGCAATCATCAGCTCAGCCAGTTCATCCGCTCCACCTCGAAGTGTGAAACCGGATAGACGTATAAGCGCAAGCACGATTACTGGCCTGGGACGACAGCTTAGGCCGATGACAGCTGCACAAGCACGAACACCGGAAGCTGAAGGGAGACCTCCTGACTGGGGTAAATCCGATTCACAGGGCACTCTGCACGCGAACGAAATTCGTGAGGGTGCCGCAGTTATCATGGTCGAAAGCCGCTAATTATGCCCCCACAGATAATTATCTGGCCCAGCGATGATCAGATTTTGAGCCAAATTTTCTTTCTTCCGCACCCTGGCATCCGCAATATTTGTTCTATTCACAGGCATGTTTAACATACTTTAATAATAATAATGATACAGATATGAAGACCTAAAGAGAATTTAGGGAAAGCAAACGTTCACTGGCCACATTTAAAAAACTGTGAAAAGCATGTATTTTTCACATTATCCCTTGGCTCACCGGTGAAATACCTGGATTCAAACGCATCTTTTTAACCAATCCTAAGCCTTGAAACGAATAATGTCAAGTCTTTTGTAAAATCGGGGACAGTTGGTAGGCGCCTCAGATCTCGAGAATTTATCTACCAGCATTTTCAATAATCCACCTTCTCGCTGTGCTTTAATGCTTTTTAAGATTAGATAGTCAACAATGCCATTTCGTTCCCTTCAGTTCAAAGTTATGCAATTGATAGCTGCTCTCTTAATAATAAGCAAAAGAATTTAAAGGATCTTCGAAATTTAAAACATTTTTGCATGGCAGTAAACTCATTATTGTGGTTAACACGCAGCAAAAAGTAAAATATTACTTTCAAATTTAATCCTTTATGAAAAAGCAATAGAGACATTTCCCATTATTGCGCATATCATGCGGCCTTTTAGCAAGCGGCAAACAGATATTAAAATATAAGAGCATTCCGGCTAGACATTTGGCATACCGTGATATAGCTATTTTGGGCTATTGGCCCTCATCAGCCACGGGCAGCCAACTCTAGTGTAGCAGCTGATCTATTGGCCCTCATCAGCCACGGGTAGCCAACTCTAGTGTAGCAGCTGAAATTTGGCGCCGCAACCGATTAAAATGTATACTCCTATATGGGACATAGGCAACCACATCTGCCTGTTTTAGACGCATCGGCAATAAAACTCTACTAGTGTGCTTCTCATATCCTATAAAATTGGCAAGTTCCACTCCCGGTGCACTGACAGGAATTTCAATTGCCCACTACCTTGTACTTATGCTCCAAAATTCAACAAAAAACATTTAGAGAGTTTGACGGTCGTTAACAAGTTGGGGAAACCTAAACAACCCGTATTTCAGGGCCGGACACGCCTGGTCTGTGCGCGATTCGCAAGTATTATATAGAAACACGAAATAGGATCCAAACTAAGTGGGAACCTCAAAAAGACACACTGCAGCCAGACTCTTAGTCTTGAGAGGCAGGCAGACCTATCCTGTCAATCGGAAATTTCTTTTGGGAAACCTGATGGCTTACAAGTATATCAAATTTTTTATAAGGAATATGCGAAAAGGGCACGGGCATGCAATACCCGAAGTCAACAAGAGTCCTTCTTATTTCACACATGCCACATTCCACTTTCTACGCGTGCCATGCACGAACCGTCGTTCACAGCGCACCAGAATCTAATACAAAGGGCGTAGACGCTCGATTATTACATGGAAAAGGAACTGAAGAATATTTTCTCACCAAAGTTGGTGATAAAGAAGTGGAACTGATTGATATGTAGTGAGCAAGCGCCGTGCAGGATACGCTTGCTATTCCAAAAAACCAGCAACTCAACGCATTCAGCGGATATTTTTTTCCTGAAACGGTGACTGATCAGGTACGCACAATCGGAGCGGTAAATCTTCGTGATTAAATTAGCATATAGACCTTTTAGCCTAATGAGCTCTATGAAGGGAATATTTGAGTTCCTGAAGGCAGTTGAGAAATAGAAGACGCCATCGCTGGAACAAGAATTTTATTTGCCTATTTTTTTGGAGTCTGTGGAGGATCCATTATCATAGGCAATCGTAACTATGCATGTCTTACACAGTTAACATTGAGTAAGGATTCTTGGCAGAATCTGAAACGTTGGGCAAACAAGATTCTCGTTCCAGCGATCGACTCGCTCTGGAATTTGGTTCGCTATAATGATAACTTAAAACGTGTCTAAATAAAAGCCAATGCACTTATGACCTTCTTTTTTAGAAAACGTGAATCCGTTTGTATGCTCAAATATGTAAAAGAATCAGGATTTAAACAGATTTGGCTTCAGTCAACTCAAGGATGCGAATAAGCTTCGTCAGATATAGAACAATTTCACAGTTGGCGTCTTGGATTCTCATTACTGATAGGTGTCCTGATGCTAACATTTTGCCTAATCTTTCCTTTTTGGCAAAGTGCACCAGATCTGGGTAAAACTCCGAGCTCTTATTGCAGTGGGATTGATATTTTTCAGCTTTTTTGTACTAGGGTCCGAGGGTCATGCAATTCGAAATGTAAGTCTAATGATATACCATTGAAGTCTTCTGAGAAAGCACGCTCTTTCATTTTATCTGTTTTCTCGTTTCGAACCCAAATACACAGGTTGACTACTTTTGCATATTAACACTTGCCTGGAGTTTTGTTTCTTGCGTTCTCGCTGTTAGTATTCCGATGGTCACTCTCAGGATACAATAAAGACCCTCCACATTGTCTTTTGCATTTTTAAGAGGACGCTAGGCATGCGAAGTAGCTATGCTGTCGTGTTATGTCGGACTTCTGATTCAGCTACAGCTACAGCATTTAGTTCATCTGAGTTCTTGGAGAGTATTTAACGCCATGTCGTTTTAGATTTTACGTTACGTCCCTGTATAGTTTTTTTTCCTCTTACGTGTATATGGAAGCTCCACCGTCAGATCCTTGAAATTCAAGGTTCTGTGTCATAAATTATTTAACTGACTGCTTATTTTTTTAAACCAAGACCCATTTTTTGTATAGCACTTTCCTAAAGTATTTCGTTTCCAATCCACTACTGACTTTGCGCCGGATACAGACGCCGACAACATTGTATAAAATGGTTCTCATTTCAACTGATAAAACCCCATGCCATTTCTGACATAAACAGGAAAGACGTATATGCCCGCGGTTACAAGATGCCATGAATATTTGACAAAAAGCGGAACACTTTTGATGAAAAAGTGTTCTACTGCAATTTAGAAGGCTTTAGATCGTACAATTAGAAGTATGCTTTTTCATAAAAACAGTGCCTTTTTCGTTATTTGAATATTTCAGGACATTTGGTTTACATGAATAAATAAAAAGAGTCTTTTGTACTACTCATTTTAAATGCAACACATGCATATCGTCCTCGAGCGCTTTTTAGATTTTGGATAGGATTATTGGCTAGTAGTCTTTTGTTGTGGGTGATCTTATGTATTAAATTGGCCGATGCATTTAATTTATGGATAAACAGCATTCCGCATGTAATGTTATTTCTTTAATAAATGTGCATACCGAAATGACATGACCGAATTACCCCCAGCCGCTATCGATTATGGAGCTATTTGTCGCCTTTTGGTGTATCCAAAAGAATGTGCGAACCAAAATGAAATATTTTTGCCCAAATATGCAAAATAGTTAAAGTACATTCCATGATAAAAAAATTGACTATGTGGTAATTGCACATTCAGGGACCTATAATTTTACCTGGCCGTACATGATTTAGTCTTCAAACAGAGACATAAGCTTGTGAGGTAACAGCAGTAGTTGTTCGCAGCATATAGGCGCGAAAATTGAGATGGAGGACATTTAGCAAATTCATAATTGGAATAGAAAAAGACATTGGCGGGTAAATTGCTCAATAAGTGAGTCAAACATCCCCAAACCTATTCGCGCAGAATATAAATATTTTAGGCTGTATACAGCATAATACAACAACACCTAAACAGTAGACGAATACTAAAAAGCAAAAGAAACATTGCATCGGCCATTTCGCACAGTTTCTCACATTACCTATCGACTTACACTTAATCTGCCTCTCCAATCTGCCATATTCGATCGCTCATCGGGACTCTCGTTCACAAAATTTTTTTTGGCTAATAAGCCACATTCAACGTTGGTTAGTATATTAAAAGTGGAGTTATGTTGATGAACTGTTGTGGTTCAAAAAAGTCAGGCATATTTATTCTATTTGCACTTTGGTCGAAATATAGTTCGCCGTTCGTGACTTAAGGAGACGGAGAAAGGAGGGCACAACTTATTTGCATATAAATTTGCTTAAGAACAATTACCAAGGTAGCGCGAGGAAGTTAAACACGCAAGAAAACGTGATAACTTGTTTACCAAACATTGTCTTTTATGAATTTTAATCCCAACCTTCTAAGCAGAGTTTGCACTAGTGGTTTGCGTGAAAGTGTAAGCCTTTGTGAGTTGGTTTATGTCCAGATATGGACCTTCAGATAATTGCAGTGCCTTTTATCATGATTTGTTTACTTGTAAAACTGTCTTCTATTCGTATTTCGTAAAAAAATATTAGGCTCATCAACTTGTCATTAGCCTGAAAGGGTAAAACCTGGTAAGCTTGTGTAAGCTTGAAACACTAAGTTTCCAAAAATGGGTTTGCATATCTCTCACTGATGTCAAACGCATGATATTCCTTTAATTTTAGAAATAGAGTTTTGATGGACAGAATACAATGGACAGAACAGATAAACAGGCCATCAATCTATTGTCTTGATAAAAGCAAAAATACAAGCTGACCTCATTGTTGTGGTCACATAGAGATAACTGCCTATCTCCAAAAGCCAACCGATAATATGCGCTGTTCTCTCGATTTGAGCAAATCACTTAAGTACGGTGGTAAAATTGAGAATCAAGTTTTTCCGACTGACTGCAAAAAGCATATTCTGTACAGAATGGCTATTTAAATTACATGTGAGTTGTCTTTAATTTACGGAGCTGTTATAAATGTAAATATATAAACAATATTCACTCTTGTGGTCATGTTGTAGAACATTACACATATGTGGAATTTTGGCCTGAACAAAAATGTACTTTCCTGTTTTAAACATCCTTATTAATTTAGTAAGATATTTTAATCGAGCAAGATGTTAAACTGGAATTCACGTTTAGCAAGGTAACTGCTGACAAGGAACTACATACATTTTCCTATGCCATCTGGAAGATTTTTAAATGAGTGAACGTGGTTTGCAATGGATTGAA